CCTCTTTGCCCCCTCTTGCCCCTCTTTCCCCCTCTTTTCCCTCCTGTCCCAGGATGAAGCCAAACTATAAATTGGTTATTTTTTCCTCTTTTCATTTTAAATGTATTGGTGATGTCAGTGGTTGAAGGAGTAACTGCTCTACTGTTAAGGATCTGGTAGGGATTTCTGTTGTTAGAGATCTGTGAGAAGGAGATGGAAAGAGCTGAGGGTTGGTTCATGCTCTGGTTCGTTAGTGTTCAGTTGTGGTTTTTTGGGTTTTGTTTTTTCTCGTGGAAAGGTTGGTTCTCATCCAGCTGAAATACACAGAGGGGGTGTAAAAGGTGTGCTGAGCTGGTCCATGAATTTCTATTGTCCACCAAACAGACGTTTCATCCACGTGCAGGAACGGCTGGAAATAAGAATTCATCAGGAGAGAAACAGTGCTCAAACACCTCTAAGATGGGGGATAAACCTTCTCTTTGTTGCCAGTGAATTTCTGAAAATTTAGGGTTTTTTAAGGAGTCCTTCAGGTGAATCTTTATGACCCAGGGGTAGTGACCCATCATATACTCAGAGTATTTATAAGGAATATCTTCACTGGAGACAGGGAAATTGCTTCTAAAGCATCACAACAGGCATGTGCATTTTCTCTGTGCTGGTTATTACCTGTCTGTCTTACGTGTTGAGAAGGGTGAAACCCTTTTCTGCCACACTTGAGCTCATGGATAGTGATGTGATTGATGTATGGTAATCGTAAGATAAAGACTAAAGATGTGAAAATAACAAATGGAAGAATATTTCGGGGGTTATTTTTGGCTGCTAGTAGGTATGGCCATTGACAGATAAACTCTCTTGCATTGCCTGTCTGGATGCTCATTCACATGAGAGGAAGGTGCTCTGTGGCTTTTAAAAGCATAAAACCAAAACCTCTTTCTAAGGATGGAAAAGTCCAAGTGTGTATTCTTCCCAGGCTGTGTAAAAACTCGTCTGTAGGTGAGTTTAACACATCACTGACTTCTTACCCTGTTGTTAGCACTCGAGTGGTCGCATTGAATCAGATTCTGGTGGAGTTGTTCTGTGACTGGAAAAAGATCCAGCAGCATATCTGAGTTCTGAGGAGACTTTCTAACCTCTTTGTTCTGCTCGTGTAGGTTGGTTTGTTGTCTCGTTGTGCAGATGATCATAATTGTGCTGAGTACACGTCCCCAAATACTGTTTCTGCTGTACTGACAGTGCAGGTGTTTTAATGATGGTAATTTCACAGAGTCACAGGATGGTTTGGGTTGGAAGGGAACACAAAGCCCACACAGTTCTACCCCCTGCCCTGGGCAGGGACATCTTCCCCCAGCCCAGGTTGCTCCAAACCCCATCCAACCTGACCTGGAACGCTCCCAGGGATAGAGCACTCACAACTTCTCTGGGCAACCCCTCAGCACCTTAGATATATCTTCCTGATATCTAATCTAACCTTGCTCTCTGTCAATTTGAGGCCATTTCTCATTGCTTTTCCTGTTATTTCTGTGTGTCACAACAGGACAGTCTGAAATGTGTTAGGTGGATCTATATTCCTCTCGCCAGTCCACATTTATGGATGTCCACACATGGAATAAACCAAACGCAGCCACACGTGCAGTGAATATTCCATGGGTGCCAAGGGGATTCCATATTTCCCCCACCTGGGTGTTTTTCCTGTGTGGGAGAACCAGTTCCTGTTATTTCTGTGTGTCACAACAGGACAGTCTGAAATGTGTTAGGTGGATCTATATTCCTCTCGCCAGTCCACATTTATGGATGTCCACACATGGAATAAACCAAACGCAGCCACACGTGCAGTGAATATTCCATGGGTGCCAAGGGGATTCCATATTTCCCCCACCTGGGTGTTTTTCCTGTGTGGGAGAACCAGTTCAGCCCTGGTTGGATGGGGCTTGGAGGGGGTAATGAAATGAATGGGAGAAGGTTGGAACTAGGTGATCTTCAAGGTCCCTTCCAACCCAAACCATCCTGTGATTCTCTAACTATCCTCTTTAACAGTCACATTCAAATTGGTTTACCAGTTCAGCCCTGGTTGGATGGGGCTTGGAGCAACTGGTGTAATGAATGGGAGAAGGTTGGAACTAGGTGATCTTCAAGGTCCCTTCCAACCCAAACCATCCTGTGATTCTCTAACTATCCTCTTTAACAGTCACATTCAAATTGGTTTATCCATAAATGTCACTAAACCCTGGTTGGGAAGTCCCCAGCCCTCACTGAGATTGTCTCTGTGCAGAGGTGTCTGCCCAGCCCAGACTGGAGATCCTCTGGGACAGTATTTGCGTTGCTCTGTGCACCTCTGCACCACTTGGTGACTGGTTCTTGGCTCTATATTGGGATGATGAGAGCATCAAACAGACCAAAATTGCCATTCAGGGGTAGCAGAGCTAGGTTAGACTAAGGACATCATCACACCTTTGGGTCCTCTCATGGTGTGTGTGCTTTGCTCTTTGGCTTCTGGGTACAGTTATGTTCAGAATCAGGTGGATATTAAATGCCATTTCAGCTTGGGGAGACTTATTCCATAGATTCTGACCACTGAGTTCTTTAAAGCAGAAGTAGAATTTCCAAACCCACTCACCCTCTTTAGAGTAAGACAAACTAAGAAGACTTTTAAACCTTCTTGAGTACATGGTGGTGGTTGTCAGTTCATTGTTAGTATCCTATGGAACAGGACTTGTTTAAATCCAGCTGAGGAAAAGTGATGTCTAATTGAGGAATAGACTTTGCATTTAGAAAAATAATCTCTTTCACTCTGTGGTGATTAAAAGGAATAAAAATGTTTCCAGTCTTTCATGTAAGTAATAGATTCTTACTCATGGTTGGATAAACTGGCACTGGTTTTGCAGAGGATAAAAGGTGGTGTCAGTCAGATTTTGTTTTGATACACAGATGGTAATTGGCTGTGGCCAGACCCAACTGTTTTATCCTTTTCATTGCTAGGAACACTCCAATATTTGCCAGGCTGGCAAGTTTTAACTTTCCATCTCCCAGAGCTGTTAGTTTTTAGGACATTCCTTAAAAACCTGAGTGAGGAATCAAACCTGGGAGAGCTGCAGGACGTTCTCTGTGGGTTTGGGAAGGAGTGTGTTCTGCTGCAAGGTGACAGGAGCAGGCAGGTTCCTGATCCTGAGCATATTTATCTTTCTGGAGCATTCTCAAACAATGACTAAAGCTCAAAACAAGGAATATCAAATAATCCTGATGGTGGTAAAACAACAAACCTGTACTGGTTCCGCAGGGTGTCACTGGATATTTTTTATCGAGCCGTGTTTGACTTTTCCTTGCAGCCATCAGAGAAATAAGAGGCAGGACAGGATGCCTGTGAGGATATCCTGGAAATTTCCAAGCCTACATTTGAGCTAAAAAATATTTAAATGTCTTGTTAATCTCAGCTGTGTTTTGAAGAGCTAAGTAACTGGTATTGTTGCACCTGCCTCTGGGGGAAAACACTACAAATGTGCACACATATCACATTTTGTTGCCTTTGGGTGTTTGCCAGGTTTGTGTATATCCTGGTTGGGTTGTTTCCTAGTTAAACTAGTTAGGTTCGTGGGTTTGTTTGATGAGGGAAGAAGATGTGTAGTTTTCAGAAGCCAAAGAAGGAAACATGCTGGATCTCAGTTCAGTGAGGTTCACGTGTGAGCCAAGTGCCAAAATCCTGTATTAAAAAGTAGTGAGAGCTCTAAGCTCTCAAGAACAAAGCTGAGAAAAATCAAATTATTCTGTTTTGTAGCTTGTTGGAGTGAGGATGGTGTTCTGAGGAAGGAGTTCAGGAGTTTATGGTGAAGAAATCACACTGAACTCTCCAGACAGTGTCTTACCCAGAACTCAGTTCTTCCCTTGTGTCTCAGCTCTGTGTTCTAGTTTGCATAATTTGCTCTTACTTTGGTTCTCAAGGTGCTTCCCTGTTTTAATGTTCTCTGGCACAGCAATTTATTGTAGTCACACACTGGAAAGCTCATCTTGGACTTGTATAGGTTATCAAGGAATTTCAGCCCATGTTTATTTTCCTTTGGGAAAGTCATTTCTGGATTGCGTGTTTTACTTTTTTTTTTTAATTTACAATTGATTTTTCTTGAAAATAGTTGGGGTCCAATGTTCTTGGACTGTTTTCTGATGAGGTCATTAACCACAGGAACAGCTGGAGACGACAGGAATTTGGTGTCTAGGTATTCTTTGAACCAAAGCAAAAGGGTAAACAGGAATTTGCTGAGTGCTCACAACAAGCAGAACGTCCGTTCTCTGCATTGCAGCAGAGGTTGGGTTTGCTGGTGAAGAATCATTACAAGCATCATTTCTGTAAATGAGAACAAAACTAGCTTGTCCCAAGGCTTCAGTCACCAGGGTGTGTGGTGAGAGGGAGGATAAACTGCCCCTGGAATGAAATATTGGCTGAGCTGCTGCTTTGGTGGTGAGGGCAGTACAGACAAGGTCACAGTGTGTGAGGGAGACAGAGCATCCCAGAGTGACTTCAGAGACTTAGTGCCACTCATGCTGCTGCGTTTTGAGGGTTAGAAATTAAATGTGTGTGTAGGAAACAATGATTTCTGCATCTGCACACACACACAGCCAGTGGGGTTGGCTGGCTGGAGCACAGTGTGCACTGGGTACTGCTGGAGTTAAATCAGGTCCCTCTATCACCTCTTTAAATTAGAGCCTCACAGGGAAGGAGAATCATCACCTCATGAGGGTTTGTTTGTTTGTGGCTTTTTTAAAATTATTATTACACTTTATTTTCACACATGACTTCTGTAGTCTAAATTTAGATAAGAACTGAACCATCTTTCCTCGTGTCTTCACTGGTTTGAAACTTCTTGTCTTCTGATTTGTGTTACTCAGATTGCTCTTTTTTTTAATTTTTAACCTTTAACCACAGGGCATGTTTTCTAATCCCAATATCCTCAAACTTCCCCATTTATTTTTTTTTCAGTCTCCTCCTTGAGTCTGAGACTCTGGAACTCATCCTAATTGAGATAACGAGGTCACACCAGGAACAGAGGTGTTTGGCTCCCGCTGAACAATGATTCCTATTTCCACTTCATTTGCTTTGGGCTGATTTCACTTACAGCAAACTGGGTTTGAATCCCACACACGTGTGGCTGCAGGGCTCAGGGTTCATGTCTCTCGTGCCAGGCTCAGACACAACTGTGGCTGGGGTGATGTGTGTGGTGTGTGCAAGCAGGAGGAGACTCCAGAGCTGCCTCTCAGTCCCTGACACTGTTGGGTTTCTTCTTGGTTATTTATGTGATTGAAGTTTGGAAGGATCAGCCTAGGAGCTGGCAGTATATTTTCCAAGAAGAGCTAAATTTTCCCTTTTTATACCCTTAATAATATCCAGTAGAACCAGTGCTTGTCCAGAGGGTTCGTAGATGCTTTTCAAATTGATTTTCAAGCATTAAATGTACCTTAATTTCTAACTGATTATTTTCCAAGGCTGTTCCCCCCCTACCCAATCTGTGCTGAGCCATTTGTGCACTGTTGACTCAGGAAACTTTTTCCTTCCTTGTTAAGTAGGGAAGGAAGGTGGTGCTTAAAGCCAAGCTCTTTTCCCAAGTATTGCTGTTTGTGGAGTGCACAATCCTTCCCCAGTCTGGCATGAGACTGCACATTACATTATTTAGACATTCCCAAACATATTGGGGAGTTCCTTGGATTTCCTCTGTAGTGCTTCCTGAAATATCTGTATTTTTCAGGCCTCTTCCAAGCTGGAGCAAGAGGAGCATATTTTTCAAATTGTGTATTCTTCAGTTCCTCTTCTCAAGGGTCCTTTGTGCAACTGGTTGGAATTCATCTCCAGCTGCTGCAATAAAATGATTTTTAGTAGGTTTAGAAAAAAGTGGTTTTTCTCTTCAGTTTCATCTATGCAGAGAGAGAAACCTGACAAGAACTTTAATAGAATTGTGATGTAATAATGGATAAGTTGCAAGTAATTAATGTTACAATGTTATTTGTGTTGTAATGTATTAATAAACTATTAATACACTTGTATTCATCGTATTTTTAGTGGAGGCAGATCCATGTGCAGCTCTTGCATGTTTAGGTGGGTGTGTTACAAGGTCAGTATTCAGTTAGATCCTGCAGGAGGTTGTGGTGGGTTTCTCACAGCTGTGCACAACAGCTGGATTGGGCATGATACACCTGGAAATTAAATTTATACCTGTCTTTAGTGGCAGAATTAACTTGCCAGTGTGAGCTTATGGAGCTGGGAGTCATCACAGGCTTTTAGTCCTTTTTCCATAGTTAAATAAACCTCTGCTGAACTCCAAATAGGTTAAGTTGGTGTCTAAAAGATGTTTCTCTCTTCAGAAAATAGTTCTCCAGCAGCCCAAAGCTCTGCTGTCCTGTTGGGCTGTGTTTCTCTTTCATCACTGTTCTATTGTGTTTATTGTGCTGTGTGGCTGTGGTCAGGAATTCTGTCTCTGGAACTTTGGCAAGAGAACCATTTCTTCACTCCTTGCAACTGCTTCTTCAATGAACACATGAGTGTTACTGAATCTCCAGGAGTTACTTCACAGTTTGATGTATACTCACTATTTCCATGTCAGATTTTGTTTGAAGATATTGCTGTAACAGCCACAGCAGTTCCAAGGAGCTGAGTGAGTTCCTCAAAAACCTCTGCCAGGATGTCGAGGGAAGGGGTGAGTGGTGTGGTAAAGGTCCCAGGGAGGTTTTATTTCTGGTTACAGCAGTGAAAAATAGCAATTTGGACGTCGGGGCCTTGAGTCAAACCTGCCATGTGCCTGAAGTAATTGATGTATCAAAACTCAGGGTGGTTTGGGACCTTTCCCCTCCCTCCCACCCCACCAGGGCGTCGATTCCTCCCTCAGCTGTGGGAGAATCCCGTGGAACTGGACGTGGTACAGGATGTGCTTATGTAACCTCATAAATACATCAATTTTTAAAAGTCTTACTACACTTAGTTTTTGGTTGCCCAGGAATCTCTGGGGTTTGTAGTCAGCACTGCAAGGTGATAGGAGGGAATGATACTACACTTGAGGATTGTGGAACATGGGAGAGTGGTTTTGGTTGCCTGAAATCCTGGTGAAATACCTCAGCTATGTGTCAGCTCCTTCCAGAAATCTCATCTATTATTGATAAGATATCCTCCTTCAGTTTTGGGCATGGCATGGGAGGCAATTTAAACATCCCTTCTTTTACTGCAGAAAATACACGTTTTAGCTTTTATGGAGCAGTTACACTAGACAGCTGTGCTGGAGAAATGAGAACATTTAACCATGACTGTAGCTTTTAAATACACCATCCTGGCTGTTCTTCCCTGCCAGGGAGAATCCAGCTGCAGCAGGAGCTCTGATCCCTTTGAAGTGCAGGGACATGCCACTGCTTTATCTGAGCACCAACTTTGCATGCAAACTCACTCTGCTTTTTAAAAGACTTCCTTTTTTTTTTTTTTAATTTTGGGTTATTTTCCCCCAGAAAACTAGATGACTAAAAGGAAAACATTCATTTCTGGCAATTGACATTATTAGGTCAAAGTATTTTTGAAGTTTTCTTTTTGCGGGTTCTGTTGTTAAAATAACAAACTTGCTGTTCTGTAGAGTCAGTGTCATGTGCTTTTAGAAAAGAGTCGACTAAAACTAAATTTCTGGCTGGAGGAGATGTTCTCACATGCTGTGTTTGGAATACTAATTCATCAGCTTGCAGTGTTGGTGGAGAAAAAGGTGAACCAGGCACAAGATACTTATCACTGAAGGTATTTTAAGGCGCTCTTAAAACTGAGAGGAATATTAATGTTTTCATTAAAGCACTGTGGCAGTGGCAGGTGTGTCGTGCTGCTTCCTTAGGTGGCATCACCTGTGGGTCAGGGCCCTCAGGATAATGGGAATTCATAGCTCACAGTGGGTTTTTCTGACATTTATTTGCACAGTGACTTTTGTACCTATGTAAATCCATAGTATTTCTAGCCTAACGTAGCAGAACTTCACCATGCCCTGCATAGACAACTGGCTCATGGTTTGGTGTGAGTAACTCAAAGGATAAATTTGCTTGTCTGCAGGTACAAATCACTTTGGGCATGAAACAAGGCATTGCTTTTAATAAATATCCCAACAGCTTCACTCCAGTTTTCCCATTCACTGCTGGGGAGTGACCTGTGTCAGCTCAGGTGTTGCTGGGGACAGAGCTCTGCCCTGTCTGTGTTGGGTATTGCTCAGTCACCTCTTGCCCCACTCGGGGTTTGGGTTTATTTAGCTATATTTGCATTGCTGTGCTCTAGATTGTGTCATTGGAACGTGGTTTGAAAGCACTTGGTATCAGAGCTGTTAATTGTATGTTCTGATGGCTGGAGGAGATTCTTGGGTTTGTAGGTGATGCGTGGCAGTGTTTCCATGCTGCAGGTGGACACAGAGCCCTGAAAATACATTCACAGATCCAAACCCCTTGAAACAGCCCATGGAGCTCTCATAGCCTCTGTGCTCAGCCTTAACCACTCCAGTTGTGCTCCTGTGGTGATCTCCTGCTGCGATATTGAACTGTTCCTTTCATCCTGAGTCCTCTTTACTATTAAGGTAAATTTCCCAGAAAAACTCAATCTTAGATTTTCAGATTAATTTATCTGTGTTTTTCAGCTTTACCAACAGGGTCGTTTGTGCCAGCTGGGGAGTGAGTTCTGTGAGCTAGAAGTTTTTGCCAAGGTGCTAAGAGCTTTAGATAAAAGGTGAGTAGTGTGTTATATCAATAATTCTCATTTCAGCTCTTAGCCTCTTGATCTAGGAAGGGGGGAAAGGCTCAAACAAGGAAAACAAACGGGAAAAAACCCAGTCAGTGCCAGTCCCTGAGCTGTGGCACTCCCAGCACCCATTTCCTGCTGGTTTAGCAAATCCTGAGGGAAGAGTTCTTAAGCTGATAGGCTTGCCCCAGTTTAAGGAGTTTTCCTGTCATTAAGTATTCCAATTTGTGGTGTTATGCTCAGCACTTGACTGTTTTAGATCAGATTCTGTGTCACCAGAGTAAGCTTTGAGTGCTCAGACACACAGAGCGATGTTGGTGGAGTCATCACTGCTCCCTTGTCTGTGATTTCTGTGGGAGTGCCAGGGGGAGGGTGAGTTTGGGGCTTCCTCCCTCCTCATTTTCAGCGGAAAATGATGTTTCCCAGTTTTAATGACGTGTGGGAAGTTTGTGTTGTGCTTCACCAGAGGGTGTCCTTGGAAAGAACTTTGTGTACACTGCTTTGTGTGTCAGATCATCCAACAACTGTGATCCATTAGCTCGGAGACTTACAGTGATATGTTCATCTGCTTTGGGTTTGGAAGAGAGTTGGGGTTTGTTCCTCTCCCTGGAATTCATGGCACTGCGGTGCTTTAAAAGCTTCATGTGTAATGGAGTTGTGTTTCCCTTTGTTCCAGACATCTGCTTCACCACTGTTTCCAGGCTTTGATGGACCATGGAGTCAAAGTGGCTTCTGTCCTGGCCTACTCCTTCAGCAGAAGGTGCTCCTACATTGCCGAGTCAGATGCTGCTGTGAAGGAAAAAGCAATCCAGATTGGGTTTGTTTTAGGTAACTGGTGCTCATGGGCTCTTGGATGGTTTCTCTCTGCAGGCTGCAGTTGGTGTAATGTTGGGTTTTGTCCTGTTAATGTCTGTGATATCTTTGTAAAGAAGGTGTGTTTTACAATGCAATTTTTAGAAAACTCCTGGGTGCCTTAATATATTGGATTTTAATACCTAAGAACATAGAGACTTTTCTATTTTGAACGGTTTAGATGTGATGCTTAACATAAGGAATTTGGACAACTATCTAGTATCAAAAAGTCATTCTCAACTGAAAGAGAATTCTCTACCCTTACATTTCATCCTTGTCAGCTCAGGACTGGAGGGTTTGACCCTGACAGGATTTCTGTCTGTAGATGAGGTCTGTGAACTAAGGACTCATTTTGCCAGACTCGAGCAAACCCTTTTTCTCTGGAAAATGTGTTTTGTTGCTGAAACTCCTGTTTGTTCCTGCTTGTCTGCAGGGGGGTTCCTGTCAGATGCAGGCTGGTACAGCGATGCTGAGAAGGTGTTTCTGTCCTGCCTTCAGCTCTGCACCCTTCACGATGAAATCCTGCACTGGTTCCGTGCCGTGGAGTGCTGTGTGAGGTGAGCTCACCTTGCATTCCTGACAAATCCACTCTGATCCCAGCTGCCCTGGAGCCCTCAAGCTCCAGATGTTCTCTTTAGTATTTCTGCTGCACCAAAACCCTTTCCTGGCTAGAGCTGAAGTTCAGGAGGTGCTTGTTTGACACTAATCCCTGGGTTTGCAGTTTGTAAGCTGGCAGCACAGTGCAGTGGATAAAACAAGCCACTCTTCTGTCCTGCATAATATCTCAGGGGTGGCACTGCTGGACAGTAAGAGTGGTGCAGCACCTTATTTTCTCAAGGGTTTTTGCATGTGGAGGAATGTTATGTGCTGGTTGTATTTGCTGCAAGAAGAATTTGCCAAATCCAAACACAAATGATAAAATACACAAGCAGAAATAAAAGCAAAACTTAGCTTTCCTGTTTCCAGATCCAGTGAGTTCTCTTGCTCCATGCTGAGCTCCTTAGCTCTGGGATTAGATAAAAATCTGGATGTCCTGACCTTGTGGACACCTTCAGCCACAGCTGAAAACATTAGGAAAAGAATTTTTTGTGCTGTTGGTGGCATTTGGATTTTGGACCTGCCTCATTTCTTAGAGGCTGTTGAGCTTCACATTCCATTGACAGGCCTCAGGTTATCACTTGGAGTTGTAGTTGCTCTGCTCTTCCACCTGAGTGTTGGTGTGATGAGGCTGCAGCCAGGTGGGTTGTGTTGGTGTCACCAGGACTGACCTCTCTCGTGTGCTGCAGGTGTGCACTGTGAACCAGAGGTAACAGAGGATTTCATTCTCTTAGCTGCTGTAACAAGGCACAAAGCATGTGCTGTATTTATCTGAACATAGAGCAAAACTTGCTTTGGAAAGCTGCTCCAGAAAAGCTTTGCATCTTGTTTATGGTTGGGCAAACATGAAGAGTAAAGAGGCTTTGCCAGGAGCTGCTGCTGTTCTATGCCAGCCTCAGGGCCATGGCAACACTGCTCTGCCTGGTGCTGCTGGCTGGCATTCCACAGCTAAACTGGTGCCAGGGGACTGGGCACACACATCCAGCTTCCTAGGACTGGGGAATGATGGACAGAGAGCCACGGTTAGTACTTGGTCCTTTGCCTTCTAATTAAGCTAAAAAAAGTTTCCCAGTTGTATTGAGCTGTTTGGCAAGCTGGAGGAGCTGCTTAAAAATAAACTCTGAATAGGAAAAGAAGAAAGGATGGGAAAGAAAGGGGGGGGAAAAAAGGAAACTCTAAGGACAATGGTTGTGGAAAGATGTTCATTTCGTGCTAGGAAAAAAAAGCCTCCTGTGTTGGAATGAACTGTTGTAAGCTGGAGGTGTTGGTGCTGGTGGGTGGAGACATCCATTGTTCTGGAAGGAATGCTGCTGGTCTGCATGGAACATATCCCTCTGGGCACCAGTGGGAATGGGAAGGAAGAGTTTAAAACACCTTCACAAGGGCCAAGGGTGTAAATTAAACCCCTTTGAGTGGGACAGGGCAGTAATGATACTGAGCTCCCTGGGTGTTGTTCCCACCTGGTCCCTTGTAGGGTAGATATCTTGTCCTTACCACTGGGCTTGGGGGGAGTTCTAAGGGAAAAAAATGCAAGTCCATACTTTTGAAAGTATGACACTTAAAAAAATGGCTGTTCTTATTCTACGAGCTAGAAAATTTAATCTGTAGGTGTTGAATCAAGACATTGCAATATGAATAGAATGGAGCTTAAAATATGTAAAGTTTTATGTCATTTATACATAACTTGGTGTTTACTTGTTCCAACAATAGTAATTATATGGAGAAACCTGAGAAAATATGGAGAGTTGTGATTTCTTGCAGGTTTATATACTATTTTCCTGCATGTTTTGTGCTGCTCTTGGTTTGCTCTCTCTGATTATTACATGTTAAGCAACAAGGTACAAATACCTAACCCAAATATGTGGTTCTCCCACTTCATTGTTTCCCATTCTGCTGGTTCTTGGGTTGGTTTATTTTCTGGTGGTTTGACTTCCTAAGCTGCTGTGCAAGGTTGTGTTGGCTCTGTTTGTGCTCTGGGGCTGATGTTCTTGGGGGGGTTAGTCCCCAAAAGCTGTTGTTGCAGACATCAAAGGAGGTTCAGAGCTATTAGCATAAACGTCCTGAGGCCTTTTCTCTTCCTCTTGGCTTTATCTTCTAACATTCCTTTGGATTAATAAAGGATTTTTTTTGTTACTCAAAACTGGATCACATAAACTCTGCTTATCCTAGAGGATTGGCTCAGCTTTAGCTTGGGTTTTTTGGGAGATTTCTTTGTTTTTAGACACTATCACTGAGGCATCCAGACACTGGATATGATCTTTCCCAGGAGCTTATCTAAATTGCAGTGCTATCCCCACTGGCTTATACCATTACATGGGATTTGGGCTCTGTGGTTTTGATGTTGCAGAGCAGCTCCCAGCTGAATGGTGTAGGCAAAGTGGTTTTTCCTCTTCAGGGATACTGTTTGCTTAGGGTTTTTTCTCTAGTTTCTTTGTAATTCCTGTCTCTTGGTGCTGGAATGTTCCTGTGCCCAGGCACACAATGCACTTGTACATCATGTTTAGTTCTCAAGACCTTATTTAAGGAAAAATGTGGGTGTTGCTTTTTGCTGTCTGTTGTTGAGCCACAGGGCTGTGCTCACTGCAGGGCTGGTGGTGTGTGGCTTCTTGCAGAGTGTTTGAAGGTCTTTCCTTTCCATGTGCCCTTTGCACAGTGAAGACACATTGTGTGCTTGTCTGCACTCCCTTCCTGGGAAAACGGGAACTTTGTGGCCTTTCTTGATAGTGTTTGAGTTTAATGATACATTTGGATAGGAAAGCAGAGGGAGAGGCTGTGTTAGGCTGATTTTTTTACGGTGAACTGAGGTGTACTACTGTGCTGTTTCAGGGGTATTGTTGCAACAACTTAAATCTCTACTTGGAGTAAATGGTGAGAGCAAATAGTTGTAGAGAAGGGAAATATTTGATCTAAGACCTCACTGTTCCCTCCTTGCCCCTTAACAATTTATCAGAAGATTATTCTGTGTGTCAGACCAGGTATAAAATGCTGTTCCTATGGATTAACTCCCCTTGTCAGAGTTTCAGCCTCTTGGCAATGCATCAGCACATTCTGCTTCACCTCTCCCTGTGGTACCTTGTCCTGATTTCCAAAGCCTTGCCTGGTGGTTTTCAATCTCTGTTCCTCACTGGCTAGTAACCCATTTCCAGGAGGGACAGTGGAGGTTAATTCTCCCAAAATTTCCTGTGTGCTCCATGGCAGGTGTTTGCCATGGAGCAGGAACAGCTGCCCTGGCTGGGAATCCAGCTCTGCCCTCTGGGCTTGGAATACTCTCACACACCCATTCCAAATGCATCTCGTTAAAGTAAATAAGCATCAGCCTCCACTAATGAAAAAATTCCTCACTTTTATTTTAAATAGATGCCAGAAGCTGAAACTGTTACTTCTCTGGAGAAACAGGAGTAGGTTTCCCTAGTGCTGTGTGTTGTTGGCTGCAGTTGGCTGTTTCTTGAAGCTTCTGTTAATCCTTGGGATGGAGAGGCAGTGGGATGGGAGGGGGCAAGGCAAGGGAGAGGATGTTAGGGTCAGAAAAATAGTCTCTTGTGGTGGTGCTGGATCTGCTGTGGAGTGGATGTCAGTGGAATAGTGTGGCTGGACACTAACAGCACTGGGCTGCTCAGGGTTTGAGGGAAAAGCACAAGAGGTGCAGGGGAAGGAGCTCTGTGTGTATTTAGTGGCTGTCTGAGCTTCCTTTGGGAAGGAGGTGGAAGGGATTTCATACTGGCTGTGGATCTACAGGGCTTTGGGAGTGGAATTGAGCAGTATTGAGAAAAATGGGCCTTGTCAAGCATCAAACTCCACCACACCAGAGTGATTCAGGCATCGGATGTGCGAAACTGCATCCACGTGTGGAATCATTTGACATCTCCACCAGAGAGAATTGCTGCTGTGCCCAAGTGCAGCACTGACCCTGCTCTGGGCACAGTTGTGGTGTGCTGCTGAGCTGGGCTGGCAGCTCAGAGCTGCTGTGGTGTCCCCCTGGGCTGGCTCACGGTGCTGCTGGCTCTGAAGGGCTTCACTCAGCCTCCCTCACACCTCTCTCCATCCTCCCCAGGTTGCTGCACGTCCGGAATGGGAACTGCAAATACCACCTGGGAGAGGAGACGTTCAAACTGGCCCAGTCCTACATGGACAAACTGGCCAAGCACGGGCAGCAGGCCAACAAGGCCGCGCTCTACGGGGAGCTCTGCGCGCTGCTCTTTGCCAAGAGCCACTACGATGAGGTGAGGGGGCTCAGGGGGCCTTTCCTTCCCAGGACTGGCTCTGGGATCTGCTAGGATGCTCCACGACTGCCTCATTAGGTTTGGTGCTGGAATTCCTGGTCTCTGTGTGACAGTACCAGAGGAATATTTCATTTATTAACCTGTTTTCATGTGTTGTTTGGAGTTAGTCAATGGTACTTTGGCCAAGATTGAGGGATGTGTGGGAGCTTGGTGGTGTGTGTGGTCATCTATAACTTAAATATCATGAAGGTTTATTTTAACATTTAAAAATGAATAGCAGAACACAGGTAACAGGGCTTTGCATCTACTTTATAACAACTGTCTCAAATGCAACTGTGGTTTCCCTTTAGCTCCAAAGTCTGCTGAGAAGGATGTTGTCCTGCACAATTCTGAGGTTTACCTAGAGGTTATAAAATACCCTTTTTATTCTGTAAAAGTAGTAACACATGCCTTAGACTAGTATAAAATCCATCCTCGATTTAACCTTAAGAGTGGTTTTTCAGTCTGTCTTTGAAGACATAACTGGACAAGTTTCATTACGCATAAGCAATTAACCAGTCTGTTTTAGATTTTGGGCTGTAAATGATCAGCTGTTCTGAGCCAGGTGATGTTTTATTGAATGCTACAATGCCCAGAGGTTGCAGCTTCACTGTGCTGGTGACTCTTTGACCAACAGGCCTACAAGTGGTGCATAGAGGCCATGAAGGAGATCACGGTGGGTCTGCCCGTCAAGGTCGTCGTGGATGTGCTACGACAAGCTTCAAAGGTGAATTCCAAACCTTCCACGTGGCTTTGTAACTGAATTGCTCCCAGGAGTGAGTGAGGAGGGTTTGTACCTCCAGAACACTTGGGTAATGAGGTCTCTGTTTCACGAGCCTTAAGGCTTTTTTGGTGTTGAGTTGGTCAGTCTCTCAGGCTTGGGCAGGGCTGTGTTTCTGTGGTTTTTCTTTCTGAAACTTGAGTTTGATCATCATGGCAGTGTTAACCTGGGAGCTGCCATGAAAAGGTGCTCTGTTCCCTGTTTGATCTGGGCTGGGTGCAGTACAAGCCCTTCACTCAGGCATTTCTGGCAGAATCATCAGTTTGTTAATGCTGTCCGTGAAACTTTTCTTAAAGAACTGAAAAGTCCTTCAATAACCACAGTGATTCTTTGAAATGAGAAGTCATAGCAGCTGCCCCAGTGTCTGGAGGGGATGAGCTGTGCACAGCTCCTCACGTGCTCCTTTCCCTCTGCTCAGGCTTGTGTGGTGAAACGGGAGTTCAAGAAGGCTGAGCAGCTGATCAAGCACGCCGTGTACCTCGCCAGGTGAGCAGCACTCACACCAAAACCCTTGGCAAGTGATGCTTGACTTGCTTCAGTTTGTAATGGCAGTGTGTTCCTGCAGGGAGCATTTTGGAGCCAAGCACCCCAAATACTCTGATACCCTCCTAGACTATGGGTTTTACCTGCTCAACGTAGACAATATCTGCCAGTCCGTTGCCATCTATCAGGTATGCAGTGGGACTGTGTCTGCCTTCAGTTGCTCTTGATATTCCTGATCTCTAATGTTAATTCATGGAGGAGATGATAGTTGGTTAATTACTGCAGTGCCAAAAACCCCAAACACCCCCAAATTTGGGGTTTTGCTTGCTTTATCCTTCCCCTGACTCATGTGTCTTATATATTTAGTGTCTCAAGTACATAGAGAATTTCAGAGACAGTAGATTTTTTTCTCCTTTTTATTAATGATAGAGACAAATTTGGGTTTTATTCTGTATTAACTGATGCAATTGTATTCCTGGAACTTTGCAGACAGCACTGGATATCCGGCAGTCAGTGTTTGGAGGTAAAAACATCCATGTAGCCACAGCTCATGAAGACTTGGCTTATTCTTCATATGTTCACCAGTACAGCTCTGGGAAGTTTGACAATGCACTGTGAGTACAGCTGTGTGGGACACTGGCAGCACATTTAGTGCTGGAAATGAGAGGAAAGTGTTCTTCCATGATACACACTTTCTGGTTGTAATTTAATGCATGTTTGCTGCATTAATATTTCTAATCCGTCGGCGTCTGACTTAGGGATGTGTTTGAATTTGTTACTGGAATTTGATTTCAGATTCCATGCTGAACGTGCTATTGGCATTATCACTCACATTCTCCCAGAAGATCATCTCCTCTTGGCCTCTTCAAAGAGAGTGAAAGGTAGTTCCTTCTCTGTGTCACTGGGAATTTGAAATCCATTGTTGGGATGTGTTTATCCTGGTCCCTACTGACGATGTGACTCGAGTTGTCTCTCTCAATGGAGGTGACTTTGGGATGTTTGTAGTTCTTGGTATTCTCTGTCAACACATATAGAACTTAACCTAGAAGACTTTGAGGGAGATGTGGGGGTCTAAAAATGCAGAGTATCAAGATTCGTGTTGGGAGCTTGATACCTGGTGCTGCCTGTTTGGAAGCAGCTTGGAACAGACACAGAGCCTGGGGAGATGGCTGGGCTGGGTGGGTTGGTGCTGCCCACAGCAGAGTCTGGAGCACAGTAACATTGTTCTCTCCTGCTCTCAGCACTTATCCTGGAGGAGATTGCCATAGACTGTCACAACAAGGAGACGGAGCAGAGGTTACTCCAGGAGGCTCATGACTTGCACCTGTCCTCACTGCAGTTAGCTAAAAAAGCCTTTGGGGAGTTCAATGTACAAACAGCCAAACACTATGGCAACCTGGGCAGACTGTATCAGTCCATGAGGAAGTTCAAGGTAAGGCTCTGTGGGTATAAAGGTCCTGGTTTGGTCTGCCAGACATGTGAAATCTGTCACAACAAAGAAGGGTTTCAGTGTGTTCACGTTTCATAACCTCAGTTGGTATTTTGTGATTGGAAAAGTTGTGCTTTATCATTCATCTCTGAAGCTTTGTGCCAAAAAAAAACCTTGGAGGTGCTTGATGCCCTCAGAGGGTGACACACCCCTCAGAGGTTGAGTGTGGTGCTACAATTCGTTGCTCCACTTACCTAAGAATTTGTAGAACTCGATTTGGTTTTGACTTTGTTTCTTTGTACCTTTTAGAAAATGGTAGAGACTGTTTAGCCACTACGTGGCTGTTTCTTCAGGCTCTTTTCCCCTCTGTATGGGGAGTGGTGTCTGACTGACCTGTGTGAATCTGTCCCTCACAGGAAGCAGAGGAAATGCACATCAAGGCAATTCAGATCAAGGAGCAGCTTCTAGGTCAAGAGGATTATGAGGTTGCCCTCTCAGTGGGCCACCTAGCCTCCCTCTACAACTATGACATGAACCAGTATGAAAATGCTGAGAAGCTTTACCTGAGATCCATAGCAATTGGTAAGTGACCATGCAGCAGTTTGATACTACAGGAAACTTCAGTGGGTTCAGGTGTTCTAGGCATGAACTTGGCTGTTAGTCTTTAGATGACATTTTGGAGCTGTGGCTAGAACTTGAGTGCAGAATGTAATCAGATTTTGAAAGAAATTGACAATTATTGTGCCCCTCAGCCTAAATACTCTCAGTAAGTACTTTTCTTGCCTGTTTTCATTTGCAGTGAACTTCTGATTCCAAATCAGGTGCATCTTTGGGCCGTGCTGTAGCTCAGTTTTGAGGTGCAGTGTCGCCTCAGACAGTTGTGTACAGTGTTAGAGAAAAATCTAGGATTATAAGGTGGAAAACAAAAGCTGTTTCACTGTTTACATTGACTTTTGGAGTGAGCTTGGGGCACAGAATGAGACTCCTGCATAGGACTGATAGGTTCTACACAGGAAAATCTGTGGTGCAGTTAGTGATGTGACTGTAGAGTCCCTGAGGTTCTCCTCCAGCACCCTTAGGGGAGAAGGTAGATGGAATTCAGACCATCCTCTAGGAAGCTGCTTGTCAACATTTTGTGCTGTTTGTGTTCCTGATCTTCCCTATCAAAAACGTTCATGCTGTTGGTAAAAACAACCTGAGAAATCAGGCACAACACATGGACATTTTTTGCCTCCTAATTTGGCTTTCTCTTGGGTTTCTTTAGGAAAGAAACTTTTTGGTGAAGGTTACAGTGGACTTGAATATGATTACAGAGGTCTCATTAAACTGTACAATTCCATTGGCAATTACGAGAAGGTGTTTGAATACCACAACATTTTGGCCAACTGGAACCGGTTGCGGGATCGGCAGTTCTCCGTGACGGATGCGCTGGAGGACGTGAGCACCAGCCCTCAATCCACTGAAGAAGTGGTCCAGTCTTTTCTGATGTCTCAGAATCTCGACGGACAGAGCAGCTAAGAACTCGGTCAATTAACCAGTTAAGGTTTTTTCTCCCAGGTTACAGGGGGAAAAGTCATACTGTGAAATCTAAACCATGTAGTTCTCTGGGGGCTGGAATTTGCGTTGAAACACTGGTCCAGTCTACTGAAGAGTGCCCATACGGATGAATGTGTGTTCAATTCCTCTCAGCATGTGTATGGCATGTTTAGTTCGGCTCACATTTTTAACTTGGTATTCCCAAAAAAAAACAAACAAAAAAACCAACCAACCCCTTCTTTCTCTCTTCTTTCAAAAGAAGCTACTTTGCAGAAAAGTCTGCAAGAAAAACATTCAATAAAACTGTTTGAGCTCAAAAGAGTCGCATTGTTATTGCGGATGGAGGTGACATCGAGAGCTTTTGATGCTGAGACAGAATAAAAGCTGTGCCACCAGGAGCTGTAGGAGAAAGGTCTTGTAGCAAGGTCAATGGTTATAGCACAGGGAGGATGCCCTGGCCTTGGCTGCTGCCTTACCAAGCAAAGTGGCAGAGAACCACTTTGGAGAGCAACTGACGCTCGCGACCTGCGCTCGGGCGTCGAGTCCCACCGCGTGCTGTTGTCTGCCCTGAACTGGACCGGTGCTCACCTGTGAGCTGTAGAAGATCCTGTAGACCAGTGTCCTTGGTGCCACCACCAGTGCTCATCCCTGACAGGACCAGGAGAACCCGCAGTGGACCAGCCTGCTAGAGACCCGTTTGGACCAGTGGCTTTAATCGAATATTTCTGCCCCTGCATTCACTTGGACAGTAGAAATCCTTCATTTTAGGTGTAATGATCAGTGCAAAATGCTATTCATGTACTAGATGCAGAGCTAGAAGTGAACGTCCTTAGCGATGGCATGTCTTTACCTATGAGCTTCTGCAGATATCCATGGCAATGCCACAGGCAAAAACTAGACACACTTGGCTCTGCTGCAGCCACCTTTGGTTTCCCTTTGGATGGGCTTTGACTCTGCTCGTGGAGGCTGTACCTTGTTTGTAGCAGTGAAGAGTTTTGTATTTCTATCCATGTTTCCAGAGAACACAACTTCCTGTACAGGTCACAGGGGTCAGTGGAAAATGCCAAAAAGCACAACAGGTCATTTCTTTTTTTTTGGGTTTTTTTTTTCTTTTTTTTTTTTTGATGCTTCATTTCTACATTAAACACCAGTACAACCAGAAACTGATTCCTTTATGTTGATTGAAAGAGCAGAGGTTGGCTGTGAAGATCCTGTGATAATGCCTCTCTCACGAGCTTGTCTTAATTATTCTCTTGGGGCTGTTTCCTTGTGTGGGTTTGGGTGTTGTTTGGGGTTTGTTTTTCTGATGTTGAGGGAAGATTTGAAAGTCTGTGTCACACCAACTACAAAGGACTTGCTGCTGTTACCTCAGTTCTTCCAGCAGCACCAGCAGTGCCCCTGGATTTGGATTCTGTCTGGTTGGGAGTTTCTGTCCTGTTGTGTTCAGGGGTTTGTACCTTGGCCAGTCCAAGCTGGGACTTCCCACTGGATGTCCTGGTTGGGTTCTGGTTTGTAATTGCTTTATGAGGTCT